ATTGGAATGCTTTTAGAAAACGTGCATATGCATAATTGTAGGATATACTAGTAAATGCAGTATTATACCACATGAGGATGGTATGTATATTCACAAATTTATAGGAAGCACATGTATGTGTGTTTCGTTAGGTTCCACTTAAATTGATTAAAATCATGTTTGTATATATGTGAATGCGAAGTGTATTGATAAAATTGACTAGAGTTGTGGGCATATGTGCGTAAATCATATTACATCACTATCATCGTTAAAACATCTCTCTTTCTATTTGCAAATGTATCGTGTATTTATAAAATGAGTGACCTATATACGTAATACGAGAGTGGTTTATCCCTCGGTATTGGTGAGGCGCCACTTTTGTACTTTGAATTAGCCCTCTTGTACCTCGCTGGGTGGGCTGGCCATTCGGGCCATGCCAATAGCCCAGACACCTTCTCTATGCTGAATACATATATTCTGCCTGAGTATTGTGTCTTCTTTCGTCTTCAGGGAGTCTCGGGACGCTACATATCTGTATATATATATATGAATACGGGCGAACTGTATAATTTAAAACGGTAATTATGGTGAAATATATGCTCGCAAATGGGTCTTGCGTGGCAGAACTTGGTGGAATTTATGCATGTTTGCAAATATTTAGCTAATCATTCATTTTGCCTCAAATTGTATTTGTATATGCGTGTTTTTGTCGTGCTGTACTATGCCTCTTTCTCTTGGCCATGGTGTCTCGCTGCGTGGGCTGGCCTTCGGGCCATGCCAGCAGCCCTAATACCTTCTGCATGCTAGATTTATACATATTCTGCATGAGCATTATGTCTTCTTTCGTATTCAGTGGAGTCTCGGGGCGCTACGGTTACTGTATCAACTTGTGTGGTTGTATTTTTGCATGACTCGTGCGAGATTAAAGGGATCCCAGAAGAATAATACAGTTGGATGTATACTGATCATTGAAACTAGCTAGGACTTTAGGCCTATAATTGCAAATTTGTCATGCGTAAGGTTATTCTAAGTTATGGGTATATATAGGTGTGAGTGTATCGTGTGCCACTGAAGCACGTTAGCATTGTATGCACTTACGTGGGGATGCATCGCTACACATTAAAATGGGTATCATACATATGTATGCATACATACATATGAGCGTATCAGGCATTATTGAAATGGGATAGAGTAGACGTTCATGTGTGTGTGCATGGCGTGTTATAGAAACTAATTGGCAGTATGCATACAACTGTGTGTATGTATTGCACAGCATTGGTGTTCTTCATCAATATGTATAAGTAGGAATGCCTCCTCCACTATCCACATTGATGATGAGCATATGTGAGCATGCGCAGATATCTTGTGCCTGATTGATATTGAGTAAGAATGAGTGCATATCGATGTGAACAAAGAGTGTACAACTAAAATAGGTAGTTTTATTGTGTGCAAACACGTATGTGGATGTATCTTGTACTATTGTTATTGCATAGCAATATGCGCATTAAATGTGTGGACATGGCGTGCATTCTTGATGACGTTAAATAAATATGCGTGTGGCTGCATTGCAGATGGAAAGCATGTTT